TAATTCTGAGTTTATATCTCGTAATTCTGAGTTTATATAATAATTCTGAGTTTATATCTGGTAATTCTGAGTTTATATAATTCTGAGTTTATATCTCGTAATTCGGAGTTTATATGATAATTCTGAGTTTATATCATAATTCTGAGTTTATATCATAATTCTGAGTTTATATCTCGTAATTCTGAGTTTATATAATTCGGAGTTTATATGATAATTCTGAGTTTATCTCTCATAATTCTGAGTTTATATGATAATTCTGAGTTTATATGATAATTCTGAGTTTATATGATAATTCGGAGTTTATATGATAATTCGGAGTTTATATGATAATTCGGAGTTTATATAATTCTGAGTTTATCTCTCATAATTCTGAGTTTATATGATAATTCTGAGTTTATATAATTCTGAGTTTATATGATAATTCGGAGTTTATATAATTCTGAGTTTATATAATTCTGAGTTTATATCTCATAATTCTGAGTTTATATCACACAATTCAGAGTTCATATCACACAATTCAGAGTTCATATCACACAATTCAGAGTTCATATCACACAATTCAGAGTTCATATCACACAATTCAGAGTTCATATCACACAATTCAGAGTTCATATCACACAATTCAGAGTTCATATCACACAATTCAGAGTTCATATCACACAATTCAGAGTTCATATCACACAATTCAGAGTTTATATCTCATATCTCATAATATATCTCGTAATTCTGAGTTTATATCTCGTAATTTTGAGTTTATATGATAATTCTGAGTTCTGAGTTTAATTCTGAGTTTATATCTCGTAATTCTGAGTTTATATAATAATTCTGAGTTTAAATCTCGTAATTTTGAGTTTATATCTCGTAAATCTGAGTTTATATCTCGTAATTCTGAGTTTATATAATAATTCTGAGTTTAAATCTCGTAATTCTGAGTTTATATCTCGTAAATCTGAGTTTATATGATAATTCTGCGTTTATATAATTCAGAGTTTATATCTCATAATTCAGAGTTTATATCTCGCAATTCTGACTTTATATCTTGCAAATTCTGAGTTTATATCTTTCAATTCTGATTTTATAAATTGTATTTTAATTTTGAGATATTAACTCAGAATTGCAAGATATGAATGTAGAATTGCAAGAAAAAAAATTGGGATATAAAAAGTCGCAATTACCTTTTTTTATTAATTTTTTTACCCCACGGCAGAAACCAGCTTTCATAGCTTTGAAACAATTTCTATTATATAAAGCGTTACAGAAACAAATGTGACTTGACTTTAGAGGAACCCAAAAGATGCTGTTAATGCTTCATCCTCAATGATTTACACTCATTTACATGCATGCATTCAGCAAACGACTGTTTCCAAAGCGACCCTCACTGTATTCAAGGCATACATGTTATCAGTTCATGCATTCTCTCTGAATCGAACTCATGACCTACTGTTTGAGCACCAGTGATTCACATGCAACACTAGGCTGTAGTTTGCTGCTAACCTGCAGTAGTTCCTGCTGTCGTCTGCGCTCTTCCTCCATCAGAGCCATCACCTGATCCTCCTGCATCTGCGCAGACGACTGCAGCCCTGAGGACATCACTGAATACATGAAGAACAGCCGAGAGTTTAATCACTTTTCATGCTTCACACAGTCACTGAACATCTCTTCTGGGTAAAATCTTAAAATGTTGTGAACAGATAAAAAGATGCACCAATCACAGTTCAGTATGCAAATATGACACAACGACCTCAACGCTGTCAATTCGATTTTCAATCAATGAAAAATGTTCAAATGTTGGAAACTTCTAGACTATAATTTCTCACCTCTGGGTGTGCTGGAGAGCATGCTTCCCGTCTCTCGTCCAGGACCGAACGCCTCATCCTCGTTCATCAGGAGCCTCCGCTTGACCCGAGACGTGACCTCGTGACCTCCCGTCTCAGGGGTCAGCTGCTTCCACAGGCCAGACGGGACGTCTACGTCGTAAGATGAGCCAATCACAGAGCTTCCCGCTTCATCCACAGAACGATTGCTGGTGTCTGCGAGGACGCCCACGACCAAACGGATGGAGGTCGGGCTCTCTTGACCGACCCCACAATCCTTAGCGGTGACGGTTTCGCTGAAAGTGACGGTGGAGGGTCGTTTCTGGCCGTCGTCGCTGGGACTCCCCGTCTGTGAGAGCGTGAGCGTCGACTCCAGGTCAGAGATCAGCGCTTTGAGGCTAGACAGGTTCAGCTCTAGCTGTGTGATCTGCTCCGTCTGCGATGACATCATCATCACTTTGTCGCACCGATCAGACGGACCAATCGGGTCGGTCTGAGCCGGTTTGCCCAAAGCTTTCCGAACCGGACCGGGAATCCGGCTCCGTTTTTTGCAGCGTACAGGACTTAAGCAGAACTTGGGCGTGGGGATGTTTGTGAATCTCGCAGCTGAGGAAGATCTGGACACGCCGGCGGACTTCTGTTTGGAGTCGTACAGGGATCTGGCCGTAACAAGAAGTTCTGAGGAGATGGCCTGAGGAAGAGCGTTATGTTCATCATTCATGCGATCTGTGCTGGCGTCTCCCTCCGTCTTCTCTCTGGCTTTCCTCCACATCTGTTTGGGAAGGAGCTCCTCGTTCTCTTTATCGGACAGGTTGTGCTCCTCCGCGGCTCTGGCCTGACTGCGCAGCAGACGCTGGCGGCGCCGGTACTCCTGGGATTTCTTGAGTAGGTTTTGAAGGCTCATTCGATACGGAAATTCATCCGGGTCAGATGGTACTGGTTCTATAACATCTTCCGCCGGCTTTGGAAGTGGTGCTACAATCTCCTCCTCTAAAATCGCTCCATCTACTGGCGCGTGACTGATGATGTCACTTCCTGCCCGTGTCGTATCTAAGCGGATCCAGCCGGAGTGACCGCTGACGTCTGTGTTGTCATTGGTCACGTAGCCCGATGACATCATCGCCAGCATCTGGCTGTGAGAGTGACTGTCCGGTGCGTCCCGAGGACTCTGGGTCTCGTGTTTCTCAAACAGAACCGTGATCTGGGTGTTTTCCAGCGAATCGTCCTCCGGAGACGCTCTCAGCTGATTGGCCGGTCGGCCGTCGTGAGCAGTTGACGTCAGAGGAGCGGACGAGATGATGTCACAGTCTGTGATGTCATCACTCTGGTCTGTGTGTCGCTCAGCGCCACTGATCCTCATGTCTGTGAACTGACACACAGAAGCAGAAGAAACCGTGTGAGGAACAACTTAAAGTCTGTTTCAATAAAGTCTCTTTTTTACAAAAATATTAAATCATTTCTAGTGTACCCTAAAGTCATACTATCAAACACTGGTCACAATCCATTTTATTCTCTTTTATACGACATATTTCAGAGTGAAACAATATTCAAAAGTATTTATTTCCCTAACTGAATATTCTACATACATACATACATACATACATATATATGGAAGCTTGGCTCTGCCACAGAATAATTTTTTTTTATTAAAAAATAAATAAATAAAACCACAGAATAAAAAAATAAAATGTAATTGCGACTTTTTCATCTCACAATTCAGACTTTTTTCCTTGCAATTCTGAGTCAGAATTGTGAGATATAAACTTAAGTTTAAAAGTCACAATCACCTTTTTTATTTTTTATTAAAAATATATTTTTACACAAAAAAAAAAAACTGAATTGTGAGATGTAAAGTCAAGATTTGCAAGAAAAAAAGTGAATTGTGAGATAAAAAGTTGCAATTACATTTTTTTATTCTGTGGTGGAAACGGGCTTCTGTACATCTATCATCACTACATGCATAAAACATGACGTTTGAAGTCTTTAAAACGAGAAGAGAACAAATGTCACCCAACGGGTTCAGAAAAACAAACTCATTTCAAAGGGAAAACAAGTTTATTATTCTGACCCCATTGGGTGACATTTATTCTTTCTTTCTTTTTTTTTTTTTTAAGTAAAAACTCACTCATTTTGATCAATCGCCTCACAGCCAACATAGCGACTCAGGTTGGTCGAGTTGGTGGGGCAGTCGTGGCCTAATGGTTAGCGAGTTAGACTTGTAACCCAGAGGTTGTGGGTTCGAGTCTCAGATTGTAGGCGTGGGAAGTGAATAACCAGCGCTCTCTTCCACCCTCAACACCACGACTGAGGTGAGACTTTTGAGCAAGAACCAAAGCCCCAACTGCTCTGGGTGTGTGAGAGTGTGTGTGAGTGTGAGAGAGTGTGTGCGTGTGAGAGAGTGTGAGAGAGTGTGTGCGTGTGAGAGAGAGTGAAAGTGTGAGAGAGAGTGAGAGAGAGTGAGAGAGCGTGTGTGTGTGAGTGAGAGAGTGAGTGTGAGTGTGAGTGAGTGTGTGTGAGAGAGAGTGTGAGAGTGCGTGTGAGAGAGTGAGAGAGCGTGTGTGAGTGAGAGAGAGTGAAAGTGTGAGAGAGAGTGAGAGAGAGTGAGAGAGCGTGTGTGTGTGAGTGAGAGAGTGAGTGTGAGTGTGAGTGAGTGTGTGTGAGAGAGAGTGTGAGAGTGCGTGTGAGAGAGTGAGAGAGCGTGTGTGAGAGAGTGAGAGAGTGAGTGTGAGTGTGAGTGAGTGCGTGTGAGAGTGTGAGAGAGTGTGTGCGTGTGAGAGAGAGTGAAAGTGTGAGAGAGAGTGAGAGAGCGTGTGTGAGTGAGAGAGTGAGTGAGTGTGAGTGTGTGAGAGTGTGTGTGAGTGAGAGAGTGAGTGAGTGTGAGTGTGTGAGAGTGTGTGTGAGTGAGAGAGTGAGTGAGTGTGAGTGTGTGAGAGTGTGTGTGAGTGAGAGAGTGAGTGAGTGTGAGTGTGTGAGAGTGTGTGTGAGTGAGAGAGTGAGTGAGTGTGAGTGTGTGAGAGTGTGTGTGAGTGAGAGAGTGAGTGAGTGTGAGTGTGTGAGAGTGTGTGTGAGTGAGAGAGTGAGTGAGTGTGAGTGTGTGAGAGTGTGTGTGAGTGAGAGAGTGAGTGAGTGTGAGTGTGTGAGAGTGTGTGTGTGAGAGAGTGTGTGCGTGTGAGAGAGAGTGAAAGTGTGAGAGAGAGTGAGAGAGCGTGTGTGAGTGAGAGAGTGAGTGAGTGTGAGTGTGTGCAAGTGTGTGTGTGTGTGTGTGTGAGAGTGTGTGTGAGTGTACGAGAGTGAGTGTGAGAGTGTGAGAGAGTGTGTGTGAGTGAGAGAGTGTGTGCAAGTGTGTGTGAGTGAGAGAGTGTGTGAGAGTGTGAGAGAGTGTGTGTGAGAGAGTGTGTGAGAGAGTGTGTGTGTGTGCGAGTGTGTGAGAGTGTGTGTGAGAGTGAGTGTGAGAGAGTGTGTGTGTGTGCGCGAGTGTGAGAGAGTGTGTGAGAGAGTGTGTGTGTGTGCGAGTGTGTGAGAGTGAGTGTGTGAGTGAGAGAGTGAATGTGAGAGAGTGTGTGTGAGTGAGAGAGTGAGTGTGAGTGTGAGTGTGCGAGTGTGAGAGTGTGTGTGAGAGTGAGTGTGAGTGTGAGTGTGAGAGTGAGTGTGAGAGTGAGTGTGAGAGAGTGTGTGAGAGAGTGTGTGTGTGTGCGAGTGTGTGAGAGTGTGTGTGAGAGTGAGTGTGAGAGA